GATTTTTTCTTAATTAGGCCAATGCTTTCGAATCACTTGACCGAGGCATTCTCACTCAACGTCTTTCGGATTGTGATTTGGCGCCTGATTTGTTGAATGTACTGATCAATTACTTCTCACATAGGACGCAATACACTTTTTGTAACGGTAAACCTTCACCCCTGGTAGAAGTTCACTCTGGGGCTTTTCAGGGTGCTACCTCGTCTCCATTTCTTTTTACACATTAACGACCTTCCCATCCCTCCCAGCTTTATTGCGTGCTATTATGCTGATGACCTAGTGGTCGGTTGTCCCTCAACTGATCCTGATTGTTTCTGTCAACTTCAAGATTGTCTAAATAAAATTTTTCATCTACACCCCGTTCTTTAATGCTCAGTGTCGATAAATGTTTCTTTTAGCCTTAAAACAGGCACGCATCATCAAACCCCTTGCAGTAATCAGTAATACCACCCCCAAAGTTAACTCTGTGAAATATTTTGGAATTACTTTGTCACGCAATATTTCTTGATCCATTTACATTAGGGTTCGTGGGCTCTCCTTCTACGCGTTTAGGCTTAAAAAGCTCAGTGTTTCCCCAAATGTAATTCTTAAATTTGTGACTGCATGCATTCCTCTACATTGGTTGTACTCTTCCCCCGTATATTTTCCTGATCTAAAGGATATCTTTTACACATATCTTAAACTTCTTTTCTGTTGCAGCGGCATTTCACAGACCGTTTTGACCGATTTTAACATGAGCAAGCAGTTTGATTCATGCGATAGATCTATCAGCTATATGCTGTCTAATCTCAATAAATCGGTGTCTCATCTCAGTACGCGTTCCAAATTTAGGATTCTTTGTGCACGCACCAACACATACAAAAACAGCATCATCCCTTATTTTGCTCGTATCTTTGTCAGCCGAACCAATACCATTACTTGGAAAATCTGTCACATTCATTTTTTTCTCATTTAGTAAATGTATAATTTTATTTTTCCAATGCTTACCGTTTTCCTCACTGGGACTTGTCGGAACATGTTATTGTATTAAGGTCAAACCCTCCAGTGCATGATCAAAATTTCCTAAAACTCCGCATCCGGTTGGCACACCACAATCGAGCAAGGCAGGACAGATAGTGGTCTTCGCACAGCATTACTAGGAGACCGCACTCTGAAATATTGTGATGCTTTTCGCGCTCTCATGACCCAGCGAGCAACGGTGGTCAGACGTTCACAGCTGCGAATCCAATCAATGGGTAGAGGCCAGATAAAGCTGTCTCCCAAAATCAGATAATTGGCACCGATTGACTTTTACTCTATCAACTTTCCCCACTGAAAATGTCACTCTAGGGAATAAGCACGGGGTCGAGCAGTTTAATTATCGAGAAATCCCGTCAGATGGACGTAGAAGAAGGGTACGTGAGAACTCCTTTCTGACGGTGAGAGAAATCCTCGATTTTCATTGGACATCTGCCGACGTCGTAGGCGGGGCAGCTCCCAGAAAATAAGGTGCTATCTCATCAGACGCATTGAGCTAAGGGCCGATCCCGAGCAGCACACAGATAATTAAAGCAAAAGCGAACAAGAAACAAAATCAAAACCCTGAGGCCTTACGTGAAATGTCTGTAGAAGTGCAAATGCAAGTGTTTCCGCCATATTGGATAATAGGTAAGAGTTGATCGGACCGGTTGGGGTTCCCAAAGAAAAACCTGAACATTCCCGTTGCCTCCGGGTCAGCCTTTCGAGTCGAGGGCTCCAATCAAAGTTCCCAAAGACAAACCACTTCGCCGATGTGGACTTCCGTAAAGCATGTTAAGCTTAACCTCCAGGCACTCGACTTCTAATTCCGAACGAAAAGTCTAGAGCTTTTAAATGTCCTTACACCCTGAAAGAAAATTAATACCATCCGTCCATTTTATTTCGGACTTTGCCGATTCTTTTCAAAATCATCATCATCGGCTGAGTCGGATCAGTTAAATTGATGCTGCTGAACAAATAACCATATTTTCGTTCTACCTATGACATTTCTTATGGAAGGAAGGAATGCCAATGTTTTTAATTTGAAAAACGATTTTCCAGGTAGGTTGAATACAGTATTAAGCACCGAAGTTATGAGACCAGTTAGATAATCTATAAGAAAGAAATATATTTACTTTCTGGGTATTGTTCTCCATGTCGGAGAATCTGTCGGTTAGGAAAAAGTGATTGACAAAGTCAGTGTCTTGTGACCTGGATAACGTAATGTTTTAGCCAACACTACTGCAAATTTGTGTGAAATGCTAACTGGTCATGACCACTAAGGTTGGTCGCAGCAGTAACAGAGGCACCCTCGAAGCACGTAATTAGTTAACTTTTGCTTTAAGTGAGGAGCTAAGTTCACAGATCAGTTCATTTAAGCATGGCTAGGACGTAAGTAAACTGCTGGTGTCAAGGTGTCATGTGAATAATTTGTCTAAGATTAATCCGTTGATGCGCAAACTATATCGGGTAAGTGGATTGGGATTACGTCACAGGACCAAACATCGATGGTGTGATGATTTTACAACTTCTTTCTTAGCACAGAACGAAGGCTATAGTAGAACGACGATCGCTTTTGCCGTCGAGACAACGAAACCCTCGACCTCTTGCAACAATCTCTCTTTCTAACGGTGCAGCTCAGATGGATAAATGTAAGCACATGGGCTGCGTGGCCGAAACCGATTGATAATTGTCACCACCACAATCCTGCTCTTTCCCTGGCTATTCAATTTTCCTTCCATATTCATTTTTCGAAACTAGAAAGAGTGATGCCATTAAGTAAATACGAAGTTAATTTTGTTAACCCAGTCCAATATCGTTTGAACATGGATAAAATAAATAGTTAGTTGTTGTTCGAACCTATAGACGTGTACAACCATTCTTTGCCAAGCGGTAATTTGATACACAGTTCATATCAAGGTCAAACTCAGTTCGGTAGTACCTGATGCAAGTAAAGCCGCGAAGTGAAGGGCGAGCAAGATTGATATTTTGCAGTGGCACCATGTAGTCCAGTGTCTCACAGATCATAGCCCAAGTGTCCGCCTCCATATTGCATAAAAAATGGGATCTGTCGATTATCACAAATGAACAGCACTATGCTTAGGGCAAATTTACCTGTACCCGAGTCTATGCCCTGTCTGTTTCGGGTGGCTGATTGTTTGTATATATTCATTGCATCATTCACATATGTGTCAGTAAACAGTATAGGATATCGACATAGATACCGATAGCCGACCGAAAGACTGGAGATAGCAGTAAACAGCAGCTGGAGATAAACAGTCCAGCATTCCGTTTCGCCACGATATACCAGGAGCGCTTTATGTCAAACCTTACGGGGCAATGTATTTTCGAGTTCGTGTGAATAAGAAACATAGGACTTTACTAGGTGGAAGCAATGCATACACTGAAATCTAACCCGTTCACCTGAATATTGTTGTGTATTAGTGCCATGGGAGTGAAGTGGAAGCCAGTTTGTCTAGGGCAGAGTTCGAGCAGTAACAGGGTCGCATGCCACAGAACGAGACCGCAGGCAGCACACGGGGGGTCAGCTACCAATTTGGTGGTCAATTGTGAGTACATTGGGTAAATGATCAATACAAAAGCGAGCAGACAATCAACGGCAGTGCTCAAGAACGCGGGGGTCTCTAATCAGCTAGCGCTCTCCACTATAGAACAGCGTACAACTCTGTGAACCCAATTAGACAGAAGACACCCTGTTTATGAAAGATGGGCAGGTGAAGATGATCTGGGATCGGAATGATGTGAAACGGGCAATCCTTTCGCAATGATTGTCAACACTTAGCAGGCATTTCTCGTCCAAAAACGAAATAGCTGTAAGAGCATCGCGATGTGAGAATCACGTTGACCAAATGGTAAATCGACGAACCTTAACCACTCATACCTCTCTTCGTCTAATTTACACAACGTTGATACTGACAATCTTCAATTTATTTAACACATGTATTGTATTTCACATGAATTGGATAGGCATACCTGTTCAAGACGCTCACTGTATTTTTTCTTTATAACTGT